ATACATACTATAAAAAGAGGCAGAATCAATAAAAGCTATAGAAATTCTCTATAGTAAAAATTACCAAATTTGTTAAGTTCTGTCTTAAAACTATTTGGTTTTGATTGTCAGGTAATTAAATCTAACAACTATGAAATCTGTGAATTAACTTTGTAAGCTATTCAGTCTGAAACAATATGAGCTAAATTGTTGCAGAGGTCAGGTAAGAACTTTATGATCAAGAGGCCACCAGTGACCTCAGTGAAGCAGTGAGTTGGTGACTGGAAACCAGACTGCAGTGAATCAAGGAGTGAAACAGTAAATTTGAGAGATACAGGCAACTCTGACAAGCTTGGCTGTAAAGGGATGGAGAGCAAGAGGGAATTGACTAGACAGGAATGTGGGACTACAAGGAATTTTAAGGAGAGAAACAAGGTTAAATAAGAACTGGTGGGAAGGGGGAAGTGGAGAGGACAAGTCAGAGATTCGGGTGAAGGAGTGCCCCAATGGAGCCAGGCCCCCAAGGGGTCTGAAGTCAGAGTAGGAAATCCAGAGCTCAATTCTCTTCTTTGTTTTGGGGAGTCAAGTGGCAGATGCGGGGTGGGGAAGAGGAGGGCAGCTCTTCCTCTGAGGTGGATACTCTTAGTATAAATTGCTTGGTAGAAAGTGGGAGAGTTTATGTCTGACGATCTTGATTGCTGAGACAGAGATGAGCAGGGTAAAAGGATTCTTGAGAGGGGAAGTATCGAAAGAGGAGATGACCAAAAAATAACCCTATTCTGCACCAGTACTGTTGGAGCCCCACTGTGACTGGAGACCATAAATTTTAATCCCTGACACTAGAGTATTTTCTCATAATATTTAGCACTTCTGGTAAAAGATTATGGGATTGTATTAGGATTAGAGTTTGGCTAGAAAGATGCAATGGAAGGACAGGGAATAAATAGCTAAAATTTTTTATTCATTAATTGTATTCTTCTAGGCACTATTTTAAGCTCTTTATTGTTTTATATTACAACAAACCTTTGAGGTTGGTACTGTTATTATTCCCATTTTCCATGGCAGGAAAACACAGACTTGGAGAAGCCCAAAGATCCAAACCTAGTGTCCTGCCATCAAGCCCACATGTGCTCTTTACTACTACATTAGAGTTACGAGTTTTGACCAGGCTACAGAAAGAAGGGAGGATCCTGAGTTTGTGAGGAAAAAAAAATGGCGGGGAGAAAAGGGGGAAGGCCACAAACTCTTTGCATGTATAAAGCATTGGTTTACTTTTAAAAAAAAAATGAGCTTTCATTTAACTTGGTTTTCATCACTTATGTTTTGGAATGCCAACATACTTAAGAACTATGACCAAACTAGCCCAGACTGTTTTCTCAAAATCCAAGGGGAAGAGAGAATTGTTGGTGTATTATGTCAGAAGCCTCAAATGGAGTTGGAAAACCTTGGTGGTAGCACTAATTCTACTACTGATTTTTATGTGACCTTGCCCTTTTGAGTTAAAAAATACATCTACACACAAACACCAGTGTCTGTTTCAGATGTTGGGGTGCTGACCTCTGTATCATTCACCTGGTCTCTTAACTACTGTGGGGAAGCTTATACCATAGAGGAGCCAGCTGAAAGTCAGAAAGGATAGTGTAGGTTAGTTACTGTCAGGGCTCCTTGTAATGCCGAGAAGCCTGCTGGGGCAGAAGTCTGCAGAGGAGCCTCACTCTCAGGTTTACATTTCTCTTTAGCTGCTTCAAAGAGACCAAAATATTGCTTCAGAGAGAGCTATTTTTAGTAGCTCTGAGTGTACCCTAAGATGTCATCTGCCCAGGATACAGGGAAACGTTTCAATCTTTCATTGGTTCTGAAAGAAATCAATGTGGTTCTTGGAGTGTTTTTCCCAAAGCTCTTCATGACTTTGGGGATTTTATTTAAAAAACTCTGTGACCCCACAGGAGGCAGGAACCAATGGAGACTTGGTTTTCAGAATCTGGAAAGGTGTGTCATACTAATGACAATCTGACTTCAAAATGACGAGCAAGAATAAATAGGATAACTAAGTAGATTAAAACAAAATACCTCCTCACAAGAAATCTATTTATGAAGCATTTTTATCTGTTGTCTCACTTGATTTCATAGCAGTCCTATAGTATATAAATCAATGAAATATTATTCCCATGAAGAGCCAGGGGAAGGACAAGAGAAAGGGATTCATGTTTTCTGAATACCTGCCATGTACCAAGCACTCACTGTGTAAGGCATGTCACAAACAGTGTTTAATTTTTATCTCAGTCTGTGAGCTACAGATTCTGGCCTTCAGTTTTACTAAGGGAGGTTAAATAGCTTGTCCAAAGCTTCACAGCTAAAAAGCAGTAGAGCTGAGATTCAAACCCAATCCATCTGACCCCACAGCCTGTTCTCCTTCTATAGCCCTGCACTCTCCCAGAGGGTGCAGGCAATGAAATGCCTCTATGGGGGTCCTAGATCTCTGGGACTTCACTCTTCAGGGGCAAATACTAGCCATTTGTCCCTGAACTTTCACTTCCTCTGACCTCTAAATGCTCTGTCATATATGGAGTCCCCCCCTGTAGTAGTTGGGGGAATTAAAAACCATTTTTGTTATGTACAAGCAAAGAATAGGAGCTTGGGCTTGTCCATGTCCAGGCAACTTCTGGGTCAGCTGCTTGGAAGGTGCCATGACATCCAGGGGGGTGTCTCCCCCCAGTGAAGGAGCTTTCTTGGATGGCAAGTCTGTCACCCTCCTCCAGTGGAAAGGCACTTTGCACCTTTTGGATTCACTGCTGCTTGTATAGCCTTGGTAAAGCTGCTATCTCTAAGCAAAGTTTGTTTATGTAACTACAATGTGTACATTTTTCCACAAATTCTTAGTGGTAATTTCAACTTAATTTCTATCCAACAGAGTTTCAGTTCCTGCATTCAGCTTATGGTAGGAGAGCTATTTTTCCTCATTATATTATGACCTATGAATGTGTTATCTCGTAACAGTGGTAGACTCCTTCTCCTTCCCTCTCCAAATCCCATCCTCTAGGCTTGGGCTCCCCCCAGGTGGTTCAGCAGCAGTTCCTAAAGCATGCAGGAACATGTCTGATGGTGCAAAATCATGGGTTGGAGGCACACATGAACTATCCCCCCAGGCAGCAATGAAGGATCATGGCACTAAAAGGCGTTTCCTTCCCCTCCTCACCTCCAGGGTCTATATCTGACCTAGTTCAGAAATCTTTATCCTAACTTGGCTGGCTGCTGAATTCAAACAAATGAACAAAAATTTCTGGGCCTATAAAAGTCTCCTGTATTTGATTTGTGGCTACACTTATAGAAGAATACCTGGGTTGGGCCTATAAGAACCCAAAAAACCAGTCTGCCCCAGGATCCACATTTTCATCTCCATCACCAGTCTGACATGTCTGAAGACCTGGTACACTTTAGGTATAATTGATTTTCCGTAGCCCCGATCTTGAGCACTCATTTTCAGGGCATTTTCCTGGATGGTGAGAGGTGGGGGCCAAGTGTGCTAATGAACCAGAGACCAGAGTTGGGTTCTCTGAGCAGTGTGGACTCCAGGCCCAAGGCACCACAGGAACTTCTAGGCACCTGTGAGGGTCCCAGCAGTATAACTTGACTAGGTTCTATTTGTCATAGACAGGAAGGGACCATGGGAGGTACTTGCCACCCTCGCCACTCTCACCTGGGTTGCACAGGACAATGTTTTCATAAAACCTGTGCATCACTCCTTGACTGGATGATGGAATTGAATTTGTGTGTGGCACATCTTCCAGGAGATGAGCTGTGAAATTTTTTTGCCACTTCTCTGGGCTGCGTGATCTTGGGCAATTTGCTATTATTTCCAGGCTGTAGTTTGTATTAAGTTAAGGCTTTTTATTCCAGATGATCTCTGAGGTCCCTTTAAATGTTAAGACTGTGTCCTTTTAAAATTTTATTGTCCATTTTGCTAGGCCTAGACTTGTTTCTGTTACCATTTATGGGGAGTCACTTTTTTGTTTACCTCAGGATACATTAATTTGGACAGAAAACTCCATGGAGAGTAAGAGAAGCTCTCATGCTTCCTCACCCTTCCATTTAAAGCATGTAAAATGAAACTATATAAAAATATATGTAGAGCTCTTACATAAAATGTTCTTTTCCAGTCCTTAAACTGGCCTTTTGAAAGTACAAAGACCAACGAGACAAGGTTTCTGTGTTCAAGAAACACACACAGTTGAGGGGGAGAGATAGACAAGCCAGAAACTTCTACCTGTGAGGATCACAGGAACTGGGTTCATCAACTGTAAGAGTGGACTGTGGTCAAGAGGTGGGGGAAAAGAAAGACTTCAGAGTGTGGAGTCAAGTATTCAGCTCATGATTCATGGATTCATAAACGCTTACCAGGTAGGGGTTGGGGAAATACATGCAAGGAAGAGCAAGCAGGGTGAGCAAAAACACAAAGCTATGAAGCTCCTTGGCATGTTCTAGGAATGATAATGTGGAGCTCTGTTGTAGGGTTACAGAGGAGTACAATCAGATAGGCTAGAGAGATCATGAGGACCAATCATGGGATGGGACGGGGGTAGGGGGTGGGGGCGGTGGTTCTTGAATGCCATACAAGTTGTTCAAGCTTTAGCCTTAAGCAGTGGAAAGCCATAGAAAGTTTTTAGGAAAGAGTTTTGTGATTAGGGGTAGCTTTTAGAAATATCACTTCAATTGCAATTTGGAGGATGAATTGCAGTGGATAGGTTTAAGAACACACAGAATAGTGAGTGAAGAGCAGCTGTAACAGTTTAGCTAAGATGAGCGCTTTAATTAGCGCTATCAGCAATAGAAGATGTGGAGATGGAAGTGAGGGTAGATAGATAACAGAATTAGAGACTACAAGACTGCATGACCCTTTATTTTTTGACTTCACATCAGTACTATGGAATAAGCAGGGAGTGATTGTTATTGCCATTTTATGAGACCACAAAACTGAAACTTAGAAAGATTAAGTGACTTGCCCAAGGTCCCACAGCTAATAAGTGGCAGAGCCCAGGTAAGAACTCAGGTTTCCTGATTCAGTTTATTGTTCAGGATTATGGTCCCTTGCTGCCTCGCCTCTATGTAAATGTGCTTAACAATTGTTCAAGTGTCAGAGGGCGTGAGGCCCCCCAGTAGCCAGGAAAGTGAACAACCCAGCACCTAAATGGGGCAGCATGCTGTGACTGGACCCATTGTCCTTCACTGCTAAGGGCTCATCTCTCTCTCTTTTCCCCTTTCCCCCTCCCTTCCTTCCTCCCTCTTTAATTGAGGGATAACATATGTATATCGTAAAGCATATTAATCTTAAAATGTACAGCTTAATGCTTTACATGTGTACACTTTTAATTACTGCCTAATACAAAATATTGAACGCTTCTAGGAGTGGTACACTTTTCATGGCGCCAGTGAGTGAGCATAGCTGTCAGAGCCGCCTCCTCTATTACCCTGCCTCCAAAAGCTCTGTTGGGATTGTTGTCATCTGTCAATTGATCTCTGAATTGCTACCACCAACAGAATGGTTTACTTTAGAAACTGCTTGGAGGAAGTTCACATGGTACAACTAATGAGGAGGTCAAGTTGACAGCTTTTATTTGATGTTTAAATTTTTCATATTTATCTAATTATATAATTTATTAAATATTCTCTCTCTCTCTCTCTCTCTCTCTATATATATATATATATATATATATATATATATATATGTAATCTCGTGTAAGCATACCACAGTCCTTGACCTCCTTATTCTCTTTATAAAGAAACCCGAAGAAAATACCTCCTTCATTCAGAAACATATAGTTTGTACATTTAATCATCTGGGAAAGGCATAATCAAAGGCACAGTCGCACTTAGCTTTTTCCTGTCTAATCTGGAATTATTTTACTGTGTATAATGCTGTCTTGTTCACTCCCTGGTTGGCGTGTGGCTGTGTTGCATCTCCAGCTAGGCCATAAGTACCTGTGTGTAGTGAGTGTGACCCACATGTGTTCTCGTCCACTGTGGCGCTCCCTTCAGTGCTGAGTGCATTGTAGATCTTAGTCACTCTTTTTAGTAGTTTTAATTTACTTATTTTGTCATGCAGTCCTTCAGGCTAATGTCAGGCTTTTTGCATATGATAAAAATTACGGTAAAAATATGCATTACTTAGGAAGGGTGGGGGACTGAAATGGAACATGACCTCCAAATTCTTTAACTTCCCTGCAGCCGCCAAATTCAGGCTTCCTGTCCCCTGATGGTATCCCATGCAATCTTGAGGCCATGGGCTTTCTCAGTCTAACTTTTCAGAGCTGCATGGTTCATTGTTTTGGGTGACAAGGGGCTTTCCAGCCTCTATAATGGCAGGTTCTAAATTTAGAGACATCTTAATAAGACTTTTCAACATTGATTGGTTCCTTTATCAATTTTATCCTCTGGGGAAAAGAAGCCCAACATGATTCTGTAAAATGGACTCTCCTCTTGCACTGCCTGCAGAACCATGCTTTGATGTCCAGCAAAAGCCCTGGATTCTGCATGGTAGTTCTGCTAGGGCATTTCCTCTGCCAAAATTCTCCTTCTAGTATCACTTTCCTGCCCATGATTTCCTTGTCATTGCTCAGCATTAAACGTATATCTATTGTGGGCCACTAATGCAAGTGCACTTATCCCAGAACAGCTACACTTCTAGCCTTGGTCCAGCATCAGTGGCAAGAGGTCTTGATTGCCTTCTCTGGCAAAAGTACTCCCACAATTGAAGAAACCCAGAGCTATTATCTGTTGCCTCTGATGGGTGGGGGTGGGGATTATGGAATCTCTTTGGAGATAGAATATATTTGTTCCAGTGGAATTAGAGGGTATATAGATATACTTTCTTCTCATACCACCCTCTCTTAGCCCCTTGTTAAAATATCTCAACTATATTTTAACTGTTAACAATGGCTTTAACAATGCAGTTCTGGCTCCTACTAGTATACTTTAAAACACCCCACATCCATGACTCCCAAGACCTCAGTTGAGTAGAAGGGATATTGCTAAAAAACATTCTTTTGCCATAAATAGAAGTTTGGGTCCCAAACGTTTCTCCTTTAGTGTTTGGAAGTATATCAAGGGAAATATCTAAACAGTTAGGCACCCTCGGTCATCTCTTCCCCTCAGGATACCATGAAGGTAAGTTTTTTTAAGTCACTCATCTTCCAAATTTCTCATCCTGAGCTCTGAAATCAGCCTGGATGTCTCTCTATATACCAAACTGGGCCTCAGCTCTAGTTCACAAGTTTGACATTTACTTTCCTAATGGCCCAAAGGATCTTATTTAACTCATGAGGATATCTCTCTGGTGGGGTACCAATAGTAGTACTTCAACAGGAACTATTTAGGGGTATATGAGAAATATTTATCTGGCCACAGCTGGGTGTACAGGAGGAAAAGTTAGCAGGCAGTGTCCCACTAGACAACTAGGTTTAGTGCCTCTGTGCATTTTAAATTGCCAGGGCCACAGCTCAGTCCCTTTAAAAGAGATGGCAGTCCATTAAGGTTCATGTAATGTGATTATTTTCAGTTTTCTCTTTGAAATCTACTTATTAAATACACCTCCAACTGAGATTTCAGACATGAAAAAGAAGACTCAGCTGATCTAGTCCAATTCACAGTCCAAGGCCCCAAGGTGCTATCATTAATGAGAAACGAGAATACTATTAAGTCATATCCCAGAGCCTTAGGCCAGAATGTCTGGGAGTGGGGTTGGTATTCATAGGCATCATTGTAGTTTTAACAATAGATATAAAATTCTGACTCTCTTAGGATAAGCTCAGATTTCCTGGGTTTCAAGTCATTTGGAACCTTACTTTAGCACTTCTTCCAACCCACCCATCCATCTCAGAAAGACTGAACCATACTGTGTGTCTGAATAGGGCCCCTTGGGTTATATGTTTTTGTACAGCACAAGACCCTTGCTTTGTTTCTGTGTTTGGTGGTGCCCATTTCTTACTTCTGCCTAATGCCATTCTTGTGTCTTCCCTTAAGCAACTCTGCTGATGAAACAGGCCTGGCCACAGAACTCATCTTCCTGTGGCACTGAAGGCACCTTCCACCTCCCAGTGGACACCGGGACCGAGAACCGAACTTACCAAGCATCTTCTGCAGCTTTCAGTAAATACAGCCTGTCTCTCCTTCCTTGTTCCGCTTGGTTGGGACTGATTTGTTTCTTAGGAAGAAAGGAAAGGGAACTTAACTTGTATCATATAAAATTCTCACCCTTTATTCTGGAAAGGTCATCACCCTCTTTGACCATGCACCCAGCATTGGGGAGATACAAAGTAATCAAGAAGGAGAAGGACGTGTTCTTCTGGCCAGCACGTTTGGTTAGAGGGAGGACTGTTACTGCATTTTTGAGGAAAGGATAAAGGGCACATTTTAAAGTCTTTGGGCCTTTTGAGAGAGTGAACTTCTTTCTGGACCCGATGACTAAGTTTGGAGGGTTGTCCTATGCATTCTTTGCTTCTGTTTATGAGATGACAGTAATAAACCCCTGTTATGAAAATGAGAAATGTCCCTGAACATTGCTAAATGTCCCCTGAAGGGCAAAATTGTTCTTGGGTGATAAACATTGCCCTAGTGGAATCCACGCTATGGGAGCACAGTATGTTTATGGAGTCCTCATGGAGGGTAGAAGCTCTTTAGCCAGTCAGATGGGGCACATTCATCTTGCAATTCAGTGAGGTGACTTGATACCTCCACCCTCAAATCTGATTTTGAATACAAAATGGCTTCACTGGGTAAAATTAGGACCAATGTTTGGAAGTTGAGTGGCATTTTGACTCCCTATAAGGAAGTACATTGTGTCTTGTTGAGTTGTTTTGTGAAGAAATAGCTGCCTTGGGATGTGGTGAGTACCTCTCTCTCGCATTGTGCCTGCAGAGACTGGACAAGCCCTCAGGGGGATGTTGTAGACTAGGCCTGATAGTCTGTGGTTCAGCGAATTAGTAATCTATTAAGTAAATAGATTAGAAGAATTCATTATATTTTTTCCTTTCTTAAAAATACCAGGATCACTTTCTCCATAGTTATTGCTCCCAGATGGCAACATCAGCTTATGTTTATGAGCATAACTCTTACTTTTTGAAGAGTGTGTTTTCATAGCCACCCTCTCATTGAGCCTATTTGTTGTTGTTGTTGTTAGGTGCCGTCAAGTTGGCGCCTACTCATAGCAACCCCTGTGTACAACAGAATGGAACACTGCCCAGTCCTCCACCATCATCACAGTCATTATTATGTTTGAGCCCATTGTTACAGCCACCGTGTCATTCCATCTTGTTGATGGTCTTCCTTTTTTCTCTGTATTTTACCAAGCATGATGTCCTTCTCCAGGGACTGGTCCCACCTGATAACATGTCCAAAGTATGTGAGACTAAGTCTTGCCATCCTGACTTCTAAGGAGCATTCTGGCTGTACTTCTTCCAAATCAGATTTGTTTTTCTTCTGGTAGTCCATGTTACTGAAGTCCTTTTATTTGGGTGGATTTTTATTCCAGTTTGATAGCTGAAGCCCAGAAGAATAATATGCCCAAAGCAATACAACTGGAAAAAGATACTCACCCAAGTTAAGTGTCTATTATAGACTTTTTTTGTAAGGTTAATTTTGTATCGTAAAGAAAAGAATAGCTGCAGTAGAGAGTTTTTCCAGGTGCCTTAGGTGGAAGTTAATTGAACATCTTTGAGATTATGTATACAAATGGACATATCCAGACATAGGCTCTTTTACATACATCTACACATATAGATGGAGTCCTGGTGCGGCACTGCAGGTTAATGTGCTGAACTGCAAGGTCAGTTTGAACCTCAAGGTCAGCGGTCCAAGCTCACCAGCTGCTCCTTGGAAACCCTATACAGGGTCATTATGAGTCAGAATGGACTCAACGCACTTAAAACAACAACAACTCGTATATAGATGTGGATGTATATAGATACACCTACCATCGGAATCCTGGTGTGACACTGAGTTTATGCTCTAGAATGCAAGGTTGGTTTGAACCACAAGGTCGGCAGTTCAAGCTCATCAGCCCTGCCCCAGAAACCCCATACAGGGTCGCTGTGAGTCAGAACTAACTCAACAGCACTTCATAACAACAATAACATGATTCAGGAGGCTGGTGGTAATTCAATAATAGGATTCTCACTTCTCATGCAAGAGGCTCTGGTTCAATTCATGTCCAGTGCACATCACGTACAACCACCACCTGTCTTCTCAGTGGAGACTGTGCGTTGTTATAGTGCTGAATAGGTTTCAGCAGAGCTTCCAGATTAAAGCAGACTAGGAAGAGTCAATAAAATCAGACTTTGAAAACCCTGTAAATCGAAGTGCCTTAATGCCTTGTATGTGGTGTCTTCCCTGAATTTGGGGCTGACTTAGCAGCTAACAATGCCACTGTCATGTAGCAGAAAGAGGCCTGGAGAGAAAACCCAAAGAGTTGAGTTCTAGATTTAGTTCTGTGTAACCTGGGATAATTCATATCCATGCTCTGGACCTTGATTTTCTTGACCGTAAAATGGGAGCACTGGACTAGGCCATTGCTAGGTTCTCTCTACCTATTAGACTCCTGATTATGTGGTGTACCCAATATATTCCAGCCTGACATGAGCCTCCTATCTAGCCACCTTGACAAGTAGTTGGCCCACTCTCCTTTGCTCACACATCTGTTGGGATGGGGTACTTATTCCTTCCATTTAGAAAGTCTGAATATTAAAAGGCCTTACCTTATACTCTAAGGAGCTCTGGTAGCCATAGTGGTTACGAATCAGGGTTACAAATTGGGCTGTGAACCTCAAGGTCATCAGTTCTTACCACAAGCTGTTCTGTGGGAGAAAGATGAGGCTTTCTGCTCCTGTAAAGATTTACAGCCTTGGAAACCCTGTACAGGGTCGCTATGAGTCAGAACCGACTCCACGGCACATAATCATCACCACCACCTTATACTCTGTGAAATCTTTCAGATTTGAAATGTTTAGTAGCCATATCTTACTGTTTCTCTCCCAGACATGCCATCACAGTTTTAAAATGTACCCTCTTTTTAAGGATGCAGTAGGAACCTTTGCAATTTCTTAATAGAGGGAAAATTGACTGGCCCTCCCACACTCATTAAGGTCCCTCCCAGCTCTCAGATTTTGTGCCACAGAAAATTCAGGATACTTTGACAAAATCAGTTCAGTTTTAGTAACTTGCTAAGTCCGCTTGTAATCATTTCCTCTTGCTACTTCTCAGCACTCTAGTTCAGTTACCAACAAGGGGACTTGGGGGTCGAGGTGAAATTCAGACACAGAACTTTGTCCAAACATAAAAATCTGATGTTCAATAAATTGATTAGTCTAAAAGGTATCCATGATGTGAGGATCGATGCCTTTGAAGGTGGTAGGGACTCGGACTGAAAAGATTTATGACAGTGCCAAAGGTTTGAAGAGAGGGCTAAATAGGTTTTATCTTGCTAATGTACACATTCTCTTTATCATCCTGTTTGATGGAGCCTAAAATTATGGCTAGGAACCTGAGAGAAAGAACAGGACATCACAAACAAAGCCTCTTTCCAAGACAGAGTTGGGACAGTTAGTAATCAGATTCCTTTTTCCTTTCATGATACTGTGTTTAATGAAATAGGGATCATAAAAGCCAGTTTATCAAATGCCTGAGACTGAACTGTAGAGACCTGTCACTCAGAAAGGAACTCTGCCCAGGACATGATTAGCTGTGAGCTCTAGGCCCAGCTCCACACTGATCTGCTGTTGGGAAAATCACTGCTTCTCTGGGCTCCAGGTTCTTCATCAGAAACAGAGAGGACTGAATGTAAATCTAAAGTCTTAAGGTATAGCATTTGGAAGGTAAAATTCTTTTCAAGTTAGCCAGACCTCTAGTGAGTAGGCAAAATCCATGAAGTGTTTTGTTTTTTTGCATCAGGTTCAACAGCTTCTTTCACTTAGATGCACAAAGTAAGAAATCCTGGGTTTTGTGATGCCCAAGGTAGCTTCAGAGTCCTGGTGTGGCACTGTTGGTTAATGCACCAGACTGCAAAGCCGTCTGAACTGCAAGGTCAGTGGTTCAAGCTCACCAGCTGCTCCTCGGAAACCTTATACAAGGTCTCTATGGGTCAGAATCGACTCGACGGCACTTAACAACAACAACCTGTTAGTTGTAGAAAGTTCTTTGCAATGATTTCTCCATAAAGTATTTATGAAATACTCAAAGACATAGAATTTCAGTGTCAGAACAGACCTCTGATATAATCTAATCCCAATGAGGATATTCCCTGAAAGAAGAGTTGACTTGAGTCAGTAACAGAGGCAGGATGAGGGCCCAGGACCGTCTCTGCAGTCTCATTTAATATCCCCCTGACACAAATGAAATCCTGGAGAACCATGGGAGTTAGAGGAAGGAGAACTAAGTCCTTGTGAGCAGCTACTCGCTCTCTTGGCATCAACTTATTATCTACAAAATGTTTTGCTAGGTCTAAATGATCTCTAAGATATCATGTGCATGGACAATTCTGCTTCTTCCTCAAACTGTCTAGCCACACATCAAGGCCTTTTCTGCAGCATCATCTCTTTGATTGCCAAGGGTGTTTTGGCTACTGATTTGCATTTGGAGTATGTTTGTGTCTCTTTTCATAATGTGAAAAAAGAGTAACGGTCTCAGACAGGCTATTCTTAGATGTAGAAACCAAATTCTTCTGCAGTCTTTAAGAGTCTTGATTTTCCTCAGAGGGATAGTCTCAACACTTAGGAATATAATTGTCCTTGTGGCATACAGGGGGTAATGCACACTGCCCCAGAGAAGATAAAAATCCAGAGCAAATTCTTGAGGCGCATAAAGGAAAGTCACCAGAATTGATGGCTTGCTAAAGTGAACAAATCATAAAATCATGGCATTTTAAACCATAAGATTTTAGAATCTGAAGTCCAGAAATGTATTTTCCAAGTTACAACAGACCATAGAAGTAATCATTTAACCACTTTCTATTGCAGTCATTCAGATGCTGGTCTCTGCTTGCATATATCCAGGACAAGAAGCTTTCTAGACATTGAAGAACAGGAAGTAATAATAGCAAGCCTTTATGACCACCACTTGGCTGTCAGTTTTTCATATTGCAGTGGCTTGTGTGTTGC